ATGAATACTTTACCGGAAAAACCCAAAAATCCGAAAAACTCAAAAAAAACCCGAGTTTATTGGTTTGATTTATAGATTTAAAAATCCGACACAGATAATTTAATTTGATAATTGAAAAATCCGAACCAACCCGATCATGTACACCCCTAGTTAAACCTATATATATTACTAATATTAGAAGAAGAAGCGAAAATGGAACTTGTAAAGTGCATAAATTCCATCACGTAACCAGCATATCCTCTTCTCCTAATATGATCGATAATGGAGTGCCCACATTTTCCTTTTCAATCTTTTACTTTACACAAAAAAGTAATGGTATAAAATTGAACCCAAAGCTAGTGGCACCCAAAGTCATGACTCTGACAAAACAATGACTCCCTTCTCTTTTTTAGTATTTAAGTTTTTGTCTGTAAAATATAGTGGGATGATTAGGTCTACCACATCTTCCCTCCTTTTACTAACCAATCACTTTCAAGCAAATAAAACAACAAATAATAAAAATCACTCTTTCTCGTCTAGTACATCCCCTCCTAACTTTGAGCCTTGTTTCAATTTTACCTTTATTTTGTATGTATGTATGTATGTATATGCACGATATCAATTGTCACGCACTCACGCTTCTAAATTCTTTATCAAATTTAAAAAATGACATTAACGTTTCAAAGTCATTCTCACTTATTATACGCCCTAGGTGGATGGTGTGTATTCTTAAAGATTTAATTACACAAAATACATATTGTGTGTCTATGGGCGTGAGGTAAAAAATACTTCAACAAATATTAAATGTTATACTTGTAATCTTAAAACTACACTAGTTTATTGGTAAGAAATAAGTTAAAATTAATTCTTAAACATGGTGATGAACTTAAATTTTGAATTCTGCCTAGTAACTAAAGTATCTTATAAATAATACTTATGATAGTGTAAGAATTATTTTACTTAATTAATGTATAGAAATTGAACCTAAGATAACTTTTATATTTTCCATGATTAAGCAAAACTCATTGGGAATGCCTAGGGATCTCTCGATTTGTTCCCTTTTCTAAATGTAGGAGGTTATTCTTTGATTAAATCATCATAAGCATTTGTTACTGATTACTTCTAGTATTGCTACTGTAGACAATAAAATTCGCGTCGAGAAAACAATAATCAAGAACGGAAAATTATAGCAACAATCGCATTTATTATTTCAAAGTGCGAGTGTTATAATCTCTATGATTCCTCTGAATTCGCCTTTTCAAATATGATTCAAGGGCTTTAAAGCTTGATCTTGAATCTTTGATGAATTTGAACTTTGAACTTTATCTTGATCTTGACTTTTGCTTGAATTCAAGGGCTTCGAGCTTGTTCTTGAACCTGATAGTCTTGATCTTGATCGTTCTTGAACTTAAATGCTTGAATTCTTAAACTTGTAGCTTTATAGAGAATTTTATGGCGTTTGTACCACGGATTTTCTCTAGCTCCTTGTTTAGAATTTTATGTCTTTTTTTTGAATTATGAAGACCCCTATTTATAGTTTTAGAATAGAGGAGTTGTGATCGGAACAGGATTCCCTTCAGCCAATCAGATTTAAGTGACATGACATATGGGCTTTATGGAGCGGGCTTGTCATCTTTGACACATGTCATGATCCTATTGGCTTCTTGTTTGACTTGGCATGCCACTTCATTTGCCCACGTGGCACCAAAAAAATGGGCCTCTAGGAAAATATGACATTGAACTTAGCAAATTGGGCTAAATCTACTGTAGCCCAAATCAATTAATTTTGACTTTAATTAAATCCATATTTATTGGACTTGAATAATTAACCCAATTATATTAATCAATAATTTATTTGGACTAATATATTTATGAATTTAATATAATTCGAATCATTTTATAAATTTATATTTAATAAATTTTAAATGATTACAAATGCCCCCTACTTCAAGTCTTGTCGAGATATTTTATCTTTTAAAGACTAGGCTTGAAGCATTAACCGGTTACTAAATTGATCTTGAGTCAAATAAAATAAACTAATCCATGCAATTTATTTATTTAACATTTCACCGATTGCTTGGAAGATTTCAATCAATATTAAAAGTATATATATACATATTATATTGCCAAAACTTTAGGCATATACTTCAGATGGTCTTTTGGACGGAGGGAGCTAATTTAAGGGCCCACATTTTAATTTTCCTTTATTTTTTTCTAATATAGGATTAATTGTGATAGAGCCACCGTTTCATGTCTTCAAATTTGTCAAGGATTAGGCAACAAATTATTTCAACGCCACCAACCTTTCCTAGTTTTATTCAAAGTGACCAATCGCCTTAGTTAAAAAAATGAATTATAATTGAACTAGGATTTATAATCCTACTCAAGTTCATATTCATATATATATTTTATTATCTTTGTCAAAAAAAGAATTGTAATTGAACTAGGAATTGTAATCCTACTCAATTTCAATATTTATATATGTGTTTTATTGCCCTAGCCAAAAAGGAATTGTAACTGAACTAGGAAAATGATGTTATTCCCATCATATGACATCTATAAATAGACACATTATCTCCACAATTTTATCTTCAATTACAGATTGTGAGCTACGAGCCTATGACGAAAGAGGCATAATTCAAGGTAATCTCCCTCTCTTTTTCTGATTTTCGTCACTTTTTCTACAGCTTGACATGTCTGTCGTAGAAAATTCATATCTCATTGTAGAAAAATCAAAATCATGAACGGTTTGATTTTCTAGAAACTAGACTTCTCGATCTCTAACATATCCAAAAATTCAGGATTTAATACCTTCAGAATCTTTTTAGATGATATTTTGAAGTTAGCTCTAGATTCTGTAATGCTAAAAATTTCAGAGTTGTGCACCTTTACTAAAACTCTGATGTCTTGATGTAGGAACGACGAAATCACAAGCAGCTTGATTATTTCGAATCTAGACACAAAGGTCTACAATATATCCAAAATTCAAGATTTAATACCTTCAAAATCTTTCTAGATGATTTTTTTTGAAGTTAACTTTAATTTCTGTCATGCTGAAAATTTCTGACTTGGGGCTTTACTAGAATACTGTGCTTAACGTCCCCGCCTTGAAAAAAAAATACTACTCTCAAGGCGTTACAAGGTCCCGAATACTTAACCAACTTGAGGCTTTACTAGAATACTATGTTTAACGTCCCCGCCTTGAAAAAAATACTACTCTCAAGGCGTTACAAGGTCCCGAATACTTAAGCTTAAGGTGTGAAGGGATGTGTTTAATGTCCATGCCTTGAAGATCACTAACTTGAGGCTTTTTCAAGATCCCTAATGCTTAAATTATTCGCCCCTTCTTAACTACCCATTTTTTCAAGTTTTATCTTCTTTCGTGCATCATCATAAGTAAATATTAACACTTTTTTTTCTTTTTTTTTTTTGCAGTTTGAACAATGATTTTCTTCAAGGATTATACTTGCCTATCTTCTCACCTCAAATATCTCATCGTTGGAACAAAGGGTAGTACTGTGGAGACTAAGTTTTTGGTCCAGGATTCTTTTGTTGGTCGTTATGTTGATCCATGGCCACAATTGAGGAACACGCTTCATATGAGAAGTTGGACATCCGAATACGATCACAAATCTAATAAAGCCTCAAAAGCGTGGTATCTTGAGAAACCAAATCCTCAACGTACAAACATCGCGAGCACTCTTTCAAATTTAGGTCGTCGCATGATTCTAGATGAACTACGTTGGGGAGACAACATTGTGCTTGAAGGTGAATATCACTGCATTCCAGGATATTGGGAATGGATAGAAGATGTCTTAAGCAAAAATGGGCAAAGTCTAAACAATGCTTGTATTTTTGATGCAGTATTTGCTTCTCTTTTAACTTATGATCGGAACTCCAATATTGTATAAGCCTTTTGTGAGGCTTGGTGCCCTCAAACAAATTCATTACTTACATCTATCGGAGAAACATCCATATCTCTTTGGGACTTGCATATTCTAGGTGGTTTGCCAATTAGCGGAGTCCTTTACGAAGAAGTGATACCTAACTCCACGGAACTTACAAGCTTGGATGACAAGAGGGAAAGATTTCTTCCTCGAACTTGCGAGTGTATGTTTGCTGCCTTTCATCATCTTAAAGAGAAAAATAATGGTAATATGAGGGTCTATTTTAATGAATGGATACAATTTTGGTGCAAGAAAGATCGCAAATATGAGCTAGCTCCCCCAAGGAAAGAGAAGAAATCTCGACGTCTGTCATCTACTCATAATCCAACAGGTGAGATACCTACTGAGATAAACACATGGTCAAGTACTCAAGAGATGGTATTTTCTAAGCTTGGAGCGAAACACCAAAAATATGAGACTTATCTGACGGCCTTTTTGTCATGTTGGTTATGTGCCTTTGTATTTCCGTCTGAAGAAGGGAATTTCATTCGGCCTGAAACTTTCAAAATAGCAAGCTTAATGGCGAGCGGTAAAAGGGTTAGCCTTGCGGTTCCGGTCTTAGCAAGCATATATCATGGCTTAAATAAAATTTCAAATTCTTCAAAGTTAGACCATATAAGAGTCTGTTTTCCCATCCACTATGTTTATGGTTGGCTTGCTTATTATCTCAAGACACACTATCCACTTAGTAGTGGACCTTCTCTTCCACGAATGGTGGTATATTCTGGGGAAGGCGCTGCAAAGTACTTTGACAAAGATGAGGCAAGAAAGCGTGTTCATCGAGGGGAAAGCATTGTATGGAATGCAACCATGCTTAGTAGGCCTCACCCAACTTATTATATTGATGATGGAAAAGCACCAGAGTTGGAGCTAGCTTATTTTATGAGCCTTCGTTTTAATTATCTTCCATTGAGGAGGGGAGGTTCCTTTGTCATTGAACCATATAGTCCGCACCGATTTAGTCGCCAATTTGGTTTTCATCAAGATATTCCTGGCTATTTAAAAAATGATATTCGTGCTGAGTCGCTTGATGAAGGCCTCAGATATTGGCGCATTTGCATATCACGTGCAACTATGTCTAAAGCGACATTTCCTCCTGCGGTAACTTCCGCAAAGAAGCTTTATACTACCCAATATTCATCTTGGTGGGAGAGATCATATGGAATGGTTCTTGAGGATAATTTGGATGTTATGGTAGAGAAAGCTGGGTCAGAATTTGTTACCCTTTTAGAAGACAAAAGTCAAGATATTGAGAAAACACTTTCAAAAGTCAAGACACCACTTGCTCCCCAGCATCAAAGTAAGAAGATTAACTCCTCTAAGGTATCTAAGAAAGAAGTAGTTCATACTTCTACTGATAAAGAGAAATGTCCCCAATTTCTCTTCTCTAGTAAATGGGCCCTTCAAGAAACAAGCAAAACTAGCAAGGATCGATGTTGGAAGAGGCAAAGGGTTGAACCATCTGGGGCTGAAGTTGTTGATTTAAGAGTCGTAGAAGTTCAGAGTGTCGATAGTCCTTCAAGATCAATGACAATTCAGAGTGACAAGGTTTAGTTTTTTTTTTTTTTTTTTTTTTTTGAATAAAATAACTTTGCTAACCCACTCTTTTCATGTGTAGGTTAACGATGCTGGACATCCACTAGGATCGCCACATGAGATGCCACAAGTTAGCGATGAGTCTACTGCAATATCAAGACCTAAGGCACAATCAATTTCAAATATTGAGCAAGAGCAAAAGACATCATCTACTTCTCGTGGCCAAACTTTAAAAGGGTTGACTCCTAATTCAAATGAGTTTTCCTGAGTTCTTCCAAAGAGTAATGGAGCTATGTTTGTCTTCGAAGGAAAGGGTGTTGTGTTCAACCACAAAAGAAAGTACATCTTGGGTCTTTGGGAAGAGATTTGTCGAAAACTTTCCAGAACTTCTCTAGACAATATTTCATCTTACAAAGATGATATTTGTGAGATTTTCAAGGAGATGAGTGAGATGAATTTATTAGATCTTTCACCATTGAAGAGCTTGGTAGATTCTCTTTTTGATCATGCTACTTCTTATGATCAAGAACACTCTAATTTTGTTGACAAGGCGCATGAAGATAAGAAGATGGAGTTGATTTCCAATGCCAAGAAGCGTCTTGAATTGTTCAAAGTAGAAGAGGGTGAGAAGGCAAAACATGTTTCTTCTAACAAGAAATCACTAAAGAAGGTTAAGCGGAAACTAGCAACTTTACAAGGAGAGCGAGAGGGACTTGAAGCTGTTTTAGAAGCTGCTAAGAAGAAGGTTGAAGAGGTTCAAGCCAAGATTTTAGCTACAGAAGATGAGATATCCTCGTATGAAAATATGAGTTTATTAACGCTTGAAGATTCAATTCGTTTGGAACATAAAAGAGAGTGCTTGGAGGCTAGTCGTCAAGATTTGACTAACTACAAGTTACGCTTAAGTTAGGCTTTCTCTTTTTTTTTTTTTTCTTTAGCATTTGATTGATGTTTTAGAAAATTTTATAGTGATGAATTTCTTTCTTTTTTTTCTTTTTTAATCATATCATGCATTTTTATTGCATGATCCAATTTGAATTTACTCTTTAAGTCTTGATCCCAAGCTTTTAGTAATTCAAAGTCATTTCATATTCCGCATGCCAATAAGAATGAATATAGTGCAAGTTCCACATTTTTAAGTTTGCACATTCAAGCTTGCCTTATCAATTTTGTGGAATTTAACTCGTAACAAGTTTAAGGGCCTTAACTTGTAAATTCATAGAATTCGAAGACATTGACTTGTAACTTGGTTGATTTAAGAGTCTAACATGCAAACTTGTAGGACTTATCATATTACTTTGTCGGATTTGAAGACTTCAACTTGTATATATAGAGGATTCAAATACTTCAACTTGCATATTTGTCTGAAATTAAACACTTCAAGCCTACTGTCAAAGAAGCTCATATTTCATAAGGGTTTGCCCCCATCTATTGACCATTCAATACCTCGTACAAGTCTACAGTTTGATGAGACAAAAGATAAAACAAAATACTTATCGCTTTGACTGACATATGACAGAACAAGTGGTTTTTTGACACTCATGCAACTGAACTTAGGATAGTTTCTAAGCGCCTACGTACCTCAGTAAAGAGGATCAAGTCACAACGTAGTTCTGGGGGATTGAGTGATTTTTTTTTTGTTGTTGTGCCGTACACAGTTTATACTCTTGCGGGCCAGGAGTGACATGCAGTTTAGGCTCGTACCTTAAGGAGCATCATCTTACTTCAAGGGTAGTACCTCTTTAGGAATTTTGCATTAATAGGACCAATCCTTACGCCATCTGCATCAACAAGCTTGTAAGCACCATGTGAATATGCTTCTTGTACAACATACGGTCCATCCCATTTGAGGTAAATTTGCCCCCAGACTTGTGCGAAGTAATGATGGGTCTTCTTACAGCGAGAACTTGGTCTCTAACTTGAAAACACCTCAAGCAAAATTTCTTATTAAAGCACGAGATAAACGAGCTTGATAAATTCAAGGTTTTGTTGGGCTTCTAGCCTCTTTTCATCAAGTGCTTCTAACTCAACAAGACGCAGTCGAGCATTTTCTTCTTCAGTGAGCCCTTCTTGAATAACAAGTCTTAAGGAAGGTATTTGACGCTGGAGTGGCAGGACTACTTCAACTCCGAAAGCAAGTGAATATGGTGTTGCTTGAGTTGGTGTGCGGTATATTGTCCTATATGCCCACAAAGTTCTTCCATTCTTTCATCCCAATCCCGTTTGGACTTGGAGACAACTTTTTCAGGAGGTTGCATAGAGTCTTATTGAATGCTTCAGCAAGACCATTGGCGGCAGCATGATACATAGAAGATTTACGCTGCTTGAAGCAAAAGAGATCACTAATTTTGTTCATTAACTTGTTATCAAATGGCTTGCCATTGTCCGTTATTATGTAGCGAGGGATGCCGAAGTGATAGATGATATTCACTTGGATAAAATTTGCAACATTCTCTTTCTTCACTTCTTCAAGAGCAACGGCTTCAGCCCATTTTGAGAAGTAATATGTTGCAGCCAAGATGTACAAGTGTCCACCAAAAGATTTTGGTAGTGGTCCCACAACATCCAATCCCCAAGCGTCAAATGGCCAAGATTCGATAGTTGGGTGCAATACTTCAGGCGGCTGATGTATGAAATTTGCATGAAATTGACAAGCATCGCACCTCCGAGCATAATCTAAGCAATCATTCACCATGGTTGGCCAATAATACCCCATCCTCTTTATGTGAAAGTGGAGTTTCGGTCCAGATTGATGTGATCCACATACTCATGAGTGTTCTTCTTGCAGAGCTTGAATTGTTTCTTCCTCTCCCAAACATCGTAATAGTACACCCTCAAATGATATTCTATATACTATGTCCTTGTAATAAAGGAAGTGAGGTGCACGACAACGAATGTCAGTCCTTCTCCTTGGATTTTTTGGAAGTATCCCACAACACATGTAGTCAATAATGGGTTGTCTCCAATTTTCCTTTATGGCTTCAGAAACGACAACGAGATGCTCAAGCTCATTTTCTATATATTCTTCCTCATTTGGCAGTCGTACTATCCATCTTTGACAAATTGTAACTTGTGTTTGATTAGGAAGGGTTAGCATTGAAGCCAAGGCAGCCGATGCATCAGCTTTCTTATTTTCCGTTCTACGCACATGTTGAAGGGTTAAATCTCCAATCCATCCTATCAACTTTTGAGCATAGTCATGATAAGGACGCAATTCGGGCTTCTTCACCTCATAACTTCCTAAGAACTAGTTGATCACCAACTGAGAGTCACCAAAGACTTGTAAGTGTAATTGCTTCATGTCGACGGCCATCTCAAGTCCAAGTATCAATGTTTGGTATTCAGCGACATTATTAGAGCAACATTGCTTCAAAGTAAAGGAGAATGGTAGAATCTCTTCTTGCGAAGTGATGAATACCACGCCAGCGCCAGCGCCAGCACCACCACGATGTGCAGCCCCATCAAAGTACATTTTCCAAGGAGGTTGAATTTCAATAGACATCGCATCTTCATGAGGAAGATCATCAATTAATTCCCAATCGTCGGGTATCGGATAGTCTGCTAAGAAATCAGCTAATGTTTGTCCCTTCACAGCTTTCTGAGAGATGTACACAATCTCAAACTGTTGGAATTGGAGGTACCATCTTGCTAGTCAATCACTAACGACAGGTTTTGACATAACAAACTTGATGGGATTTGCTCTAGAAATGAGGCGGACAACATGCGCTTGAAAATAATGCTTCATCTTTTGAGTTGAGAAGACAAGTGTAAAGCTGTAACACCCCGTATTCAAAATAGACAAAAATGCAGATTTTGAGAAGTTGCAGGTGCAACTTACGGTCACCATCCATGGACTGTAGGTCAGACCACGGCCCGTGCTGGTGGTCCGTGGTTCACCACTGCAACCCCTCCCAGCCAGCTCAGAAAAAATTGGCTAAGTCTCGACCCACGGTCCGTAGATCAGACCACGGTCCGTGGTCTGTGTCCGTGGATCAAGACCTCCTTTACCCAGCCTCAGACACGAACTACGGTTGACCAGCACGGACCGTTGTTTGATCCACGGTCCGTAGGTCTGACCGTAGATCGAAGGTTAGCAGCCAGTTAGCTGAAAATTCTGATGGGTCAACTTTAGATGGTCATAACTTTTAGCACAAAATTAATTATGTGTCCCATGACCTATGGTTAGATAGATAATTTAATTATCTTTCCAACGCCACTGAGTTTGCTAAATTCCGACCTCTGAGTAAAAAGTTATATCCGTTTTAGTGAAGACCTGTCGGGCAGACTCCATCTACGGACCCAATCGACGGACCGTCGATTGATTGACGGACCGTCAGTCCATTCCGTCGATCACTCCGACAGCAGTTAATTCAGGGGTCTTTTGGTCTTTTTCTATTTCGTTTAACCCCTAAGATACGTCGTTTAAACCCTAAATCATGAGATTTTAATCAGTTTAAACCTAGAAACATAACTAGAACTTACCTAAGTCAAATTCATTAATCAAAACTTAGAAAATTAGAAGCAAGAAGGGAGAAAAAGGCCAAGAACCCTAGTTCAAGAACGCAGCAAGGTTCCATCAGTTCCAGCCCCGAAATCGAAGGATTTCTCCGTGGAATTCGTCACCAGGTATGTGGGATTTCACTAGTGGGTTCCTTTCACCGATTAGGTCCCTAGAATTCAGTCAGATTCTTGATTCCATGATTATGAACAGACCTAGGGTTTCTAGAATTTGAACAGATCATCATGAATTAGTTATTTAAATGTTCCAAATCAGATTATCATGTTATTGCTCAGTTTATCACATGAATTTCAGAACCCTAGCTATGTATTTCTTTAGTTCTTGAATTACACATGTTAGGTCAGATATTTCAGTATTCAGTTTTACATGCCTCAGTTTATGAATGCATCATTATCAGATTAATTGTTGCATTCTCAGTTTGCATGTTCAGTTTCGAGCTATCCAGTATTTACAGAAATTCAGTCATAACTAGTTAACCACTTAATCTATTGGGAGTACCATAATACCGAGTTGGACTAGGGTTTCAGCGTACCCATATAGTCCCAGAACTACGAGCCACGTAGGTGTAAGTCCCCTCTGTGGGCAACATCAGTTTAGTGATCACGCCAGCATGCCTTTATACCTCTGACAGGGTATATTGGGTCCTCTCGATGGGGCGTATACATCGGAATCCACATTTAGCTCATGTGGTTTTATGTCGGTTATTAGTAGCTCCCACAGTTCAGTCAGATTCTATTGCATTGACCACATTTACAGTTCATTCAGTATTCAGTCAGCATGTTATAAATTGGTCATTGCATTCAGTTAGCTCAGTATTCAGTATCTATATCATGTTCAGATTATTTCATTGCTTTATTGCTTTGTTCAGTTATATGTTCTTTCAGCTTTACTCCATCATACATGCTCAGTACCTTTCAAGTACTGATGCATACGTGCACTACATCTTTTCGTGATGTAGGTTCAGGTTCTCAGCATCCAGATCACGCTTAGATCGATTCCCAATCTTCAGTTCAGCAGAATCAGTTGGTGAGTCCACATTCTTCGGGGACAATAGTCATGAGTTTCTTTTCAGTGTTTTAGTCTTTAGTTTCAGTTTTGCTAGATCTAGTTGGGGCATGTCCCAACATTTCTAGTCAGTTTAGAGGCTTATTTCAGACATAGTTAGATTCAGCTTAGTGTTTTGAGTTTGATATTTCTTTTGTATTAAACTCTCAGATTTCATATATTCAGTTATAGTATATGGGTATTCCCCATCTTTTCAGATTTATTTATGAATTAGCTTCCGCATCAGTTTATTATCTTTAGTATGCTCATGATCATGCCAGCAGGGTTAGCTTGGGATCACTTGTGGTCCTAGGTCCCGTGTCCGCGTCTTGGGGGTAGCTTGGGGCGTGACAAAAGCACAACTTTTCAATTGGCGAATAGTTCAGCTCATTTGGTGTCATCGTTCTACTTAAGTAATAAAGAGTGTTTTCTTTGCCTTCACTATTCTCTTGAGCTAGCAGGGCTCCTTCAGACCTTTGTTGTGTCGCAATGTAGAGTATCAATGGCTTTCCAGGTATAGGGGCTGCCAAAACCGGAGGTTTCGCTAGATACGATTTGATACTTTTAAAGGCATCGCTACATGTTTGATCCCAATTAAAAGAAGCACCTTTCTTCATGAGATGACCGAATGGTTGGCATCTTCCCGCTAGATTTGAGATGAATCTCCTCAAGTAGGCTAACTTTCCTTGGAGACTTTTTAACTCATGAATATTTCGAGGCTTAGGCATCTTCGATATTGCACCAACTTTGGCTTGATCAATTTCAATTCCTCGATGTCTCACAATAAAGCCAAGGAAATTGCCAGAAGTAACTCCGAAGGCACATTTCAATGGGTTCATCCTTAGTTGATATCTTCGGAGCAACTCAAACACCATTCTTAAGTCTTTCAAATGATCATCCCTCTTTGTTGACTTTACCACCAAGTCATCAACATAGCATTCAACATTTTTATGGAGAAAGTCATCAAATATATTTTGCATAGCCCTTTGATAAGTGGCACCAACATTCTTTAAACCAAATGGCATCACTTTGTAGCAATAAATACCCTTAGGCGTGTAAAATGCGATGAGTTTTTCATCCTTTGGAGCCATGCGGATTTGATTATAGCCAGAAGAACCGTCCATGAATGACATCGTCTCATAACCAGTGGTGGCATCAATCATCAGCTCCGGAATGGGAAGATGAAACTCATCTTTAGGACATGCATTATTAAGATCTCTAAAGTCAACACATACTCGAATTTGACCATTATTCTTCCTTACAAGAACAATACTTGAAATCCATTAGGATATTTGACCTCGCGAATAAAGCCTGCCTCAATGAGTTTGTTAACTTCATTTTCTATCAATGGAACCAAGTCTGGCCTAAAGCGTCTTTGAGCTTGCTTAACAGGACGAGAACTATTTTTGACTGCCAATTGATGGACCGCTACTTTAGGATTCAATCCAGGTATTTCTTTGTAACTCCAAGCGAAGACATCCCTATATTTTTTGAGTATATTCATATAAGCGATTTCTTCATCAACTTCTAGAAAGGCACTCAAGTAAGTTGGCCTTGGGTCTTCATCAGTGCCAAGGTTAACTTTTTTCAAAGGATCTATTGTGGTCTTTTCTCCTTCTTCAAGTTCCGATGGAGCATCTCCAGCATCTTCTTCTTCTAAAGGATCATTGTCATTGCCAGATATATGACAACACTAGACAATATCTTCTAACTCTTCATCAATCTTCATTTGTGGCAAATAATCGTACTCATTTTGGATTGTAATATGATTTGAGGAGCCTACACTTTCTTCATCTTCCTAGCGCTCCTTGGTGTAAACCACAGTGTGAACATTTGCCTTGAGTTCCTCTTTACATGAAACTACAAGTTCCACTCGTCGCCTCATTCTAGAAGGAATCGAACTTTTGAAATCCTTTCGAACCAAATGTGAAATAGGCGTTGTAACTTTTAAATAACTTCTCAGATTCTTGTTTTTCTTCAATGGACCTAACCTCTCAAACACAGAAGTTCTTGTAGTCGATTCTCCAAGTCGATTAAAGACAGAAGGCTTTTTGTTGGGAGTAGCGACATCATCTTCAAAAGTTATATGGTTGTTGCTTGCCCTTCTTATGAAAATGCGAATTGGTGGTGGTTGGCTATAGCCTAGGCCTTCATGTGCTTGCCTAGTTGTATCTTCTGATACAAGTTTCCCTAACATTGATGGCTCATCAGGGTTGTATCCAGCTTTCACAAATAACTTGTAAGCGTTGGGATCAAAACCTTCTCTTGTGCGTTTTGTAGGGAGCGCCACATCTCGCACTTGATTTTGAGAGATTGACTTTTCTGGCAGCTTTGAAGACAAGTTTATTGCATCAATCCATCTGATAGGAAGAGTTAGCCCTCTCCATACATTTTCTTGAAGGTTAGATGATTGACCTTCTTCTTTCTTCACTTTTGGAACATAGCAAAGTCTAGAAGTCAGCTTCTTCTTCGAAGACAAGATCTTCCATTCATTAAGAATGGGACAAAGTTCTTTGGTGTCGACGTTTACCTTTCCGACTGCCGCATCAATTCTTTTGCTTATGACCTTATCGGACATGATTGGTTTTACATCATTGGATTTGGCCCCTTTAACAACATAACTTTTCAAATAGAATTTCGCATCGGCAAAGTGTGTCTTAACTTCGGTGAAAGGATTATCATCTGCAACTATCTTCCTTTCAATCCCGCCTTCAAGATACTTCAAACATTGATAGTAAGAAGATGAGACAATTTTATTCTCATGTACCCAAGGTCTGCCAAGTAATATATTGTACGACGTCTTTGCGTCAATCACATGCATCCATGCGCTTGATCGCAAATCTTCCATGTGGATCTCTAATTTAATGGAGCCTATGGACCTCTGCCCCCTTGATTAAAACCTTGTATCAACAGACGACTTTTACTAAGTTCTCCAGTCGTGATGCCGAGTTCTTACAATGTGTGGATAGGCAGAATGTTGACTCCAGATCCTTCATCTATTAAGATTCTATTTATCTTCTTCTCTAGTACGTGACCCGCCATATACAAAGGACGATTGTGTAGTGTTTCACCAAATAGAATATCATTATCTGTAAATGTGATTTTTGTATCACATGCATGTGCTTCTTGGGAAGAAGGTTCAATAGGTGTTTCAGAAGGTGAAAGAGACATCATTGACGAGATTTCCCTTGTTGTCTTTTCATCGTCATTAGGAGACACTTTTGATGATGATTCACTCGTTGTTCCTTCTTTGTCAATAGGAGGCACCTTCATTGTTTCTGCTTTATCAGCATTGAAACATGATGCCTTGACATTGTCTTGAGTAGACTTTATGTCGAACGAATTTGGTAAGAACTCCTATAGAGTCACAGGACGTCGGGGTTTTTGGTAGTGATGCACTTCTACCTTTGCCCTCTTTAGGCGCTTGATTGATTTCTACTTCTCCAATTTTTTCACCATTTTTCCTCTAATCGGTGGCTTGGATGGTTCTTTTCGTAAGCTTGACTTGTTGCGTCTTCGCCTAGTTACAAGAATCCAGCCTCCGTCACCAACTATATCAACTTCCTGCTCCAATGACTCTTCTTCATGATTTTCAGAGATATATATTTGGATCGGATCGAGTGAGCCGAACGTGATAGAGATCTGGTTAGAACTAGCATTCTCATCATCAAGGACAATTTTCTTTTCGTTAACCAATCGCATCACTCTATCCTTGAAGACAAAACATTTTTCGAGAGAATGGCTCACAAGTCTATGATACTTGCAATAATTTGGGTCATCAACTTTTCCAGCTTCATCGGGTCTCTTCATCTCTGGCAAGTCAATGAGGTTTAACTCGAGCAACTCATCAAAAATCTCAGAAATGTCAGAATCCAAGAAGGGATATTTTTTTCCTTGCATCTCCCTTAGTGTCGACATTTGATTTGAACGTGCTTGGAAAGTCGTTCTCACATTTAGCTTCATGCCCTCATTCGTAGTGATCTTCGTAGGTGACATATTAACATTCATGGATTCTTTATTGTCATTTCTAGGCAAAAATTTACTCCATCTCTTGGGTTCCTGCTTGTCACTTCCTTTGCGAGGGTCTCAGACATACGTCATATCTTTTCCAGCAGAGGACGCTTAACTCCATATCATGAGCGCGAGTAGCTAGATCTTCGAAGGATTTTGGTTTTATTCCTTGTAAGATGTAAAGAAGATCCCAGTGCATCCCTTGGATACACATTTCTATTGCAGAAGCTTCAATAAGCCTATCCTTGCAATTCAGGCTCGCGTTCCTCCATCGATTTATGAAGTTTATGGCTGGTTCATCCTTCCTTTGGCGAGTATTCGTAAGTTCTACCATGCTCACAGTACGCCTCGTGCTATAGAATCAATTGAGAAACTCGTGCTCTAGTTTCTCTCAACTATCAATAGAATTGGGCTCAAGATATGTGTACCAATCAAAGGCATTTCCTTTTAGAGACCGGACAAACTGCTTGACAAGATAGCCTCCATATGTTCCAGTATTATTACATGTCTCCACAAAGTGGGCAACATGTTACTTCGAATTTCCTCTACCCTCAAATTGTTGAAATTTGGGAGGTTGATAACCAGCAGGCATTTTTAAGTTATCAATTCTTACAGTGTATGGCTTGGCATACATATGAGAAGACTTAGTGGAGACTTCATACTTATCTTTGATAGTGCCTTCAATGAACTCCTTCAAGCGATCGAGTGGGATCATCCCTTCAGAAGAAACTGGCATCTCATTAACAATCGGTGCATTCTTTGCAGGATCTCCAATCTCTTGAACTTCAACACATTTTTCGGGTGCATGACTCGTTTCTCCATCTAAAAGTCCTTCCATTCGGATCCATCAACTTATCGATTCTAGACTCTTGGTGTTGTACATGTTTTGTCAATCCTTCAACCAACTTCGTCAGATTTGTGAGTTGTTCCTTAGAGGAAGAAGCAGCAGCCACCATTGTTTGCATGATCATTGGAGATGTAGGAGAGTATCATGGATTGTCGCGTAAGTTGATCTTCAGCGAACTCACATTACGTGATGCACGTGGAGGTGATTCGTTAGTTGAATCATAATTCTTCCTTGTGGTAGAATTCTTGGAACTAGATTGCTCAAGTAGAGCCAATGTCTCCTTGATCTTTTCAGCAATACTGTTTCCTCCTTCCAAAGCATTTATGGAGGAACTTGCTCTTTTTGGAGTTGAAGACCCAAAAATAGGAGTTGATGCGGGTGACACTTGCAGTGTTTGTTGTCCTAGCGTAGCAGCTTTGTTTCTCGTAACAACTCCGAAACTTCCAAAGATAACATCAAGAATGCCTTCAACTTCAGTAGAGAACTTGGAGCTAGTGGCCTTAGAGGCAGTTGATCAAGAGTTGTTCTTCATGGAAGTCATCTCGATGTTGTTTGATGCTTGAAAAGTTGAGATGAGAGGTAGAGATTGTCCCACTGGGCATGCCAGAATTTGTAGACAATAAAATTTGCGTCGAGAAAACAATAATCAAGAACGGAAAATTATAGCAACAATCATATTTATTATTTCAAAGTGCGAGTGTTACAATCTCTATGATTCCTCTGAATTCGCCTTTTCAAATATGATTCAAGGGCTTTAAAGCTTGATTTTTTTTAACTTTAAACTTTATCTTGATCTTGACTTTTGCTTGAATTCAAGGGCTTCGAGCTTGTTCTTGAACCTGATAGTCTTGATCTTGATCGTTCTTGAACTTAAATGCTTGAATTCTTAAACTTGTAGCTTTATAGAGAATTTTATGGCGTTTGTACCACGGATTTTCTCTAGCTTCTTGTTTAGAATTTTCTGTCTTCTATTCTGAATTATGAGGACCCCTATTTATAGTTTTAGAATAGAAGAGTTGTGATTGGAACAGGATTCCCTTCGACCAATCAGATTTAAGTGACATGTCATATGGGCTTTATGGGGCGGGCTTGTCATCTTTGACACATGTCATGATCCTATTGGCTTATTTGTTTGACTTGGCATGCCACGTCATTTGCCATGTGGCACCAAAAGAATGGGCCTCTAGGATAAGATGACATTGGACTTAGCAAATTGGGCTTATCTATAGCTTAAATCAATTAATTTTGACTTTAATTAAATTCCTATTTATTGGACTTGAATAATTAGCCCAATTAAATTAATCCATAATATTTATTTTGACTAATATATTCATGAATTCGAATCATTTTATAACATTATATTTAATAAATTTTAAATGATTACAAGCAGCCCGACCAATAGGAATCACCAAAGCTAGAAAAGAAAGGAGCTCTCTCTTTTTTCCGGCCTTCTTTTTATTTTGAATTTCAATTTATGTTCACATAACATAAATCCACATAAAAATAATAGTATATTACTATGCGTATACTTTAATTCTTTTTTATGATGCATGTGGTAAATTCTTTTATAATTCTTATGCAGATTCTTGATTTTTTAATGCAATAGAGGTATTATGTTGCATGCATATTTATAGAATAAAATTAAATTTCAACAAATTATAATATTTTTTAAAACAGTTTCATTTTCAAAAAGAAGTTACACATTCTTCTTATAAGATTTTATTTTTTTGAAACTGTATTTCCACAAAATATGCCTAAGATATAAAATCAGGATTTTAAATTTATTTTGTTTACATCTACTTAAATTTAAAATTATTATTAATTATGTTGTAATGTTATATAATTCAAACCAAAAAATTTAGTAAACTACGGGACTACCTAACAGGGTAAAACGTTAGCAATTTGGTATTAACATTTGAAGAAAATAAATCAAATTCTTATAGTTTTTTAAGTTTTTACATTCAAATTTTTTGAAATTGCTCTTTTTTTAATAATACATCAATTTCGAGAGTAGTTTAAAGCTTTAGTATTTATTCAAATCAAAATCCTAATCAATTAGCTTTATTAATTTGTAATCAGTTACAACTACCGTTATGGATAATTCAAACGTTTAACTTATATATATATATATATATATATATATATATGAACTTTTTTCTTCCTTTTAAGAAATTCATAATTTAAATTATTGTAATTATTAGATAAAAAATTAACTAAAATAAAATAAAATTACAATCTCACAAAAAATTTTAAAGCTAATTATAATTTTCAAATTAATTTTATACTAATTTTCAAAACGAATTCTAAATATATATATATATATATATATATATATATATATATATATATATATTTATTTATGAGTTACATAGAAAAGGATAGTAATGAATTCCTAAAATAAGGGTAACTGATTAACAATTTTTTTCTTCCTTTTAAGAAATCCATAATTCAAATTATTGTAATTATTAGATCAAAATTTAACTAAAATAAAATAAAATTACAACTCCTAAATAATTTTAAAGCTAATTATAATTTTCAAATTAATTTTATACTAATTTTCAAAACGATTTCTAAAAACAGGAATTACTATCCTATTTTCTTTAATGTTTGCATTATATAACTATAGGAAGCAAATTTTAAAAAATCAGTTTAAAAAGAAAAAAACAAAAAGGAATCCCCACATTTGCATTTTTTTATTAAAACAAAATAATCTGCATATAAAATCATATGTAGAATTTCTGAATTAAATTAACTTAACAATTGACAATAAAAATAAAAAGGGTAAACACTAAAAAAAACAATACGGTTTTGGAAAAATAAATAAAAATAAAAAGAACTTAACTACTTCTGAGGTCTCCTTTTAAAATTTGTTTTTAAAAATGGTAGTTATCCAAATTAGTATCCAAACGTGTAAGTTTTTAAAATTTGAATAATAATTTGATTTTGTGTATCCATATTTTATGAATTTATATTTTTTTAATTAAATGAAA